GCCATGAGACCCCCCATGATCAGGAGTAGCCCTACATGCAATAACACCCGACAAGCTCCGGAGCATGAGGCCGAAAGGGGAACAGAGCGCAGAACATCGCAGAACATCGCAGAACTCAAGAGTGCACAAGGGCAAGTTCGAAAAGGGACCTTCTAAGGCCGCTGCTGGGCAGCACCAGCAGCTCCATGCTGCCACCTCTTGCACGATCTCCTTTTCGAACGCTCGCCGCCGATGGATGGCCTCAGCAACGGCAGGAGGTGATGTCTGAAACTGCCCAAAATGCGTCTGCGCCCTGTCCTCATTCACCGCGATGTGCAGCGCCTCCACGAACACGTCGAACAGCAGCGCCGACATGATGCACAAAGCAAGGTCTCAAGTATACTTCCCTGGAGACGAGTAGGACCACCATGATATATATATATATATAGATATAGATATAGATATAGATATAGATATAGAAGCCTGAAGAACCCGGCCGAGGCGTGAAGGCTGTCGCGACGTCGCACGTGGTTGATTTACAAAGCATGCGGTGAACTGCACTACAGCTTCTTCGTCACACTCCTAGACAAGCCCGCTGAGAGCCACACAGCTGTTCGCTCAAGCAGCGAGTTACAACTTGAGTTACGTACAGCTTGTCTTCTCATTCTTCTCTTGAACAAGTTGACGACAAAGTTGCTGAAAAGTCATCTGCCATGGGAGACATCTGCCGTCTCTTAAGGCGCGTGCTCAGCACGCTCAGCAAGTTCGTACCGGTAGCAAGTTCTTCGGAACGGGACCATGAGGACTGGCCCTAGAGAGGGGCATTGAGAAAGGAGCCTAGAAGGAATAAATACTAGATGCTGGACTTTGGGTTGGTGGTTGGTTTGGTGCCTCAGTGTGTGGGTTTGGGGGGTCTCACTGGCGGATATGTGCAGACTCCATGCGCCAGACTTGACCAATCGTGTCTGACAACAAGTGAAACCGACAAGAAAAGCCAACTCTCTAAACCTGGAAACCCAAAACACCAAACCCTGAGCAATCGGCACACAAAACCAGCGCTGCTCTGTTCTTAGGGTGCCAAGGGTTCCGCATTGACTTTGAGGGCTTAGAGTTTAATTTAAGGGTTTTGGGATTTGTGGATTTTCACGCACGAACCCGCAAGCCTGCCTGCAAGAGCCGATTTTGGGACCTTTGCTTTCGAAGTCCACAGCTGGATGCTGCTGTTCTCGCCGCCTCGACGGAAGGGGTGCAGCAAAGCATCTTAGTCCTGGGGCGCACCCCAAACCCCAGAACCACCCTAAACCCTAAACTCCCACAGCCTCAACCGTCTCGAGTAGTCGCAAAGACTATAGCGCTAGCCACCATCCTTCTGGCTAGGGTTAAGCCATGCACGCATGTATGTATACCTTCACGTATGTTTGTAGTCAAGCATCAAGCTGCTTACTTCCGGGTATTTACTTTCATTCGACCAGTAGCACAACTAGTGGTGCCAATCCTTTGCCTACCGATGACATTATGCGGCGGCGTCCTTGGAGCGTTGAAACTATTGTCGGCTTCCGGGATAATATTCATAGGAGCTTAGGCGTCGATGAGAAGACGCCGGGATTTTCAAAGATCTACGGCGCTACTTGCACAGAGGTCTTTCGGAATATTTGTTTTGGCATTCGCGCTGGTGTAGATTTTGACTGACTGCTAAGCCAGAGGCCGATGTGAGCCCAAGACACTCAGTGTAAGGCTGAAAAACGAGCCCCTGAGCCGCAGTGAGACTGTATCCTGATCTCACTGAGACCAGGCCCTTGACAACTATCCCCCGAGACCGGGCAGTATGTCGGCCTGGCACATTAGCCTGGCCGCAGGGCAGCAGCACTTCACCTGCGCAAAGGTTTCACTGGGGAAGTAGGGCCTGGGATTGCAACAGGGCAGGAAGTTGGGTTGGCCTGCAGCTTACAGGTGCTTGAGATTCGAGCTAGGCCATGGATGGCCCGAAACGAACCCCTAGCCCCACAGCAATGTTTTGCGGATTCAGGTTTAAGGCCTCCCAGTCCACAGGAGCCCCCCAGGCTCGGGCTGCGCGGCGCGCCTTTCGCTTTTCTGCTTTTACTTCCGCTTAAGTGCTTCTACTTCTGCTTCAACTTCTACTGCTCAAGTTGCTTCTGTTTTGCAATTGCCATTGCGGTTGCCATTGCTGTTGCCACAGCTTTATTGGTGCTGGTGCTGTCATTGTTGTTGTTGCTGCTGTTGTGTTTGTCAAGGCTGTGGCAGCCGGGGACTGGCTGTGAAGGGAGTGAGGAGGTTAAATCATGGGCTTCCAAAGGGACAGCCCCAGGGAAAGTGGGGGATGCGAGGGCGAATGAAGGCTTGTCAAAACTCATTTGACTCTACGTCTGGGTGCTTCCTGTGGCGGATCTCCCTTGGGACCATGTAGGGCGAGGTACGGTTGGTTTAGGAGTCCGAGCCAACCAAACTCAAAACCCGAAAACGCTGCTAGCCCCGGGACCAGGGTTGGGTGGGGGGGTTGTGTTTAAACGGTTTAAACTTTCGGCGTGTAAACGCACAATGTTCAAACAAACGGCGCCCTTGCGGTTCAGAATTTTGAAACGGTTTAAGCTGCTAAAACGTGATTTAAACATTGAACGGTTTAACCTGTCAAATGTTTCAACGCACACATGTTTAAACATATGTATAAACATAACCACAGAGTGGCTGCAAAGAGTACGCGTTTTGGGGCTTGGGGTTTTCAAGGTTCAGGTTTTCAGGGGTTTTGCAGAGCACCATTCTCGGGCCAACAATTGCTCGGAGGACTGTTTAAAACTTGGCAACGACTTCTTAAACATGTTTAAACGCCCTGGAGCCCCACCAAACGTTGAACGTTGAGCCTTGCGAACTGTTTAAACTGTAAACGCTCCAAAGCCCGAACTCTGTTCAAACAGTTTAACGCCTAAAAGGTTTAAACGTTTAAACTTCAAACTTGTTTGGCCCGTCCCTGCCCGGAACCCTGGGCTTGCCTAGTCAGTGCTGAGACCAGTTCAGGCAGAACAGCTCTGAAGGCCAAGGCGGGTGGATATGCAACGAGACACACCCTGAGAACTTGAAAAACTCCGAACCCCAAGCCCCCATCCCTTCACCCTAAACTCTCTCCGAAGCCCGAAAGCCTTCGCCAAAGACCCTAGGATAGTTTGGGGCTTCCAAGGAAATCGAAAAAAGAGTTGCCTTGAAACCCCCCAGCCCTGAAGCCCCAAAAAGCCCCCCCAAGCCTGTTTTGGATGCTCCGGGAGCGCAGGGTCAGCAGGAAGCTGCGACCAGCTCAGGCGCCTCCCGGCGCTGCACAAGAAGGGTTTAAGGTTTTTTTGGCTCTGGGGTTTAAGGGGTTTGGAGTTTGAAGCTTGGGGTTTGGAGAGCACAACCCAAAGGTTTGTTATTGGCACACAACAGCTAAGGAGCCCTGAAACCCTTAAACCAGAATCCAAGTCCCCTCTAAGTCCCCAGCCCCAGAAGGCTGCGGGAGTAGCTCCACCCCCTTCGGGTTTGGGGAGCCTTGGAGTCAGGTCGTGTATTCCGAGCCTGGCTCTGCCGCAGCCCTCAGCGTGACCTGCACAGCTGCGAGGGCTCGGGTCCTCAGGCCCTGACCTTCACAAGGCCTTTACACCCTAAATCCTTAAGGGGGAGCGCCTGGGGATGCACGGGGCAGGGTGTGCTTCTGAGTTCTGCCCTAGACTCTAGACCATTCGAGTCCGCCAGGTTCAGTGCTGCTGGGGCGTTATAGGGGGGGAGCGGGGCGTAGGGCACGACATCCACCCCAGCTGGCTAGGGGGTCTCTGCATCATGGAAGAGATTGGCACAACATGAATCCCCTGCACAAACGCCCGAAGGCCTGAACCCTAAACCACAACCCCACGCCTGGATGGAGGACACGTTCCGAAACTCGAAGATTGGCGTGGGGCCGGCATGCTGTAGGCAATCTGGAAGCGTGCGACAGCATTGTTGATCGAGGAGGGTGCGGTAGAGTTTGGGGGAATGCGAAGACCTGACTAGAGATGTCTAGAGATGTCTGGCAGAGAAAAGTTTTGGTCAGCATCGTTTCGGCCACCTCTAGCCTGAAATCCAAGCATGTCCACGCATTTCAAGCTACGTTTACGCTGCTATGGTGCTGAACAGCTCCTCAGCCAACTCGTATCAGGTCGTATCGGCAGCAAGTCTCCACTACAGAACACGAACCGGAAAGATTCAGAAACCCTATACGCCCTTAAAGCCCCCCCACCCCCATTTGCAAACAGAATGATCGCATGAAAAAGATTCATATGCTTTGAAGCAAGCTTGCACGGCTTAAAAAACCGGGGGGGCGCAGCCCTGCGGGGGGGGGCGCAGCCCCGCCATTTGCAAACTGATCGCATGATGGGTCTTAAAAAGATTCACGCACCCCCCGCCCCCCCTGAGCACAGGACCAGCCAGACCTAGGAAAAGGGAAAAGGGAGAGCCAGACCTAGGAAAATAAAACACCGGACCCACCCCCCCCCCCCCCCCCCCCCCCCGCAACCATATACGAGAAGTTCAAGCACAGTGGTCCCGCATTAGGACTGGGCAGTTTACCAGGCACTACAATGGAGGTATTCGCATTAGTGACTGGTTGACCTCGCGATGATGTACCCAATGACGGGGGAACGGGAATTTCATCCATCTATTTGCAGGCACAACTTATGCTCGTAACGCTGTCATCGTCCATCCTGACTGGGTATCTCAAAACATGGGCGTCCCATGTAATTGCCCCGAAACAGTATCATCTTTCTAGGCACCCCCTTCAAAAGTGGACCAATAAAACTTTCAGAAAGCCCCAAACCCCCAAACAAAAACCTTTGGCAACCCTGTATAGTTTGGGCCTGGCAAGTTGCAATCAAATCCTAAGCTCAAAGCCCTATCTGAAATTGCACCTTGTAGGCATTGTCACGAGCTAGCTGCACGTCCTGGGCATCGTAGGCGTTGCAGCATGCCGAAATACATCACAAGGGGTTCACGGTTTAGGGGACGTACTCTGAAAGGAACCTACATGTGAAGTTCAAGGAAAAGAAGGCTCATGGACACTCGGAACCTTAAACTCCTAACCCCTACCTGAAACCATAAACCTTAAACCGCAAAGCCCTCACACTTGCACCGCAAACCCATACATCCCTTCTACCTGGCCTGGAAACAAGATGGCGCCTGCCGAAACTTTCGGTATAAACTGCGCTGAAGGGCATCCAGGAGGAGCAGACCGGGGAAGAATGAGGCAGAGAAGTGGCTAGCGCAAAATCCAGTCTTGGCTTGGGCGAAGGTTGCAAAGAGACTTGTAAGGCCAAAGAAGGGAAAGTTGAGTTTAGGTAAGCCCTAATCTTTGAACCCTGACCCCTAATCCCCATTATTAGCAGCATTAGGTACCAAGAAAAAGGAACTCAATTCGGGGCCTCATAGGTGTGGGTGAACTCCTAAACACAGGCTTCAGGGTTTAGGGTTTACAGGGTTGTGCCTTGCCCAGTAGGAAACGCTTTTTGGCTCGCTCAGCGTTTTCCCCCTTGCATCTCACGTTGGGCAGTGTCCAAGCTGGGCTGCTTTTCAAGAATTGAAGCTGGGTATATGCATGCATTGAGAGTAAATAGTACGCTTTTTTCTTGAGCCCTAAACCCTGAACTCCAAACGCCAAGACCCTAACTAAACCCAAACTCTACATGAACCCTAAACTCCCAGAAAGCTCAACACCTTCATGGTTGCCGGGGTTCAGGCTTGTAGGGCTTCCAGGGTTTCTGGCGCGTTCGGTGTTCTTAGGTCTTGGGTTTTTTGGCAGCTAGCGGATGGAGAGCTTTGGATGAACACATGCTTCAGGGTTGTTAAGGATTGCAAAGGAAGACTTAGAACTGAGAGTTTAGCTGTGTACTTTTAGGGTTTAGGGCAAGTTTAGACTAAGGGCGTGGGGTTGAAGATTCAGGGTTTCCATCTTGTATGAGCCGAAGAGGCCATCCCTAAACACTAAACACATGCCTTGCCCCGTAGCTTGAGGCCCAATCTGCCCACAAAAGCTAAAAAGAGCCTGTGCTCCGAACATTGTGGTCCCTTCTTGGGCTCTGCCAGAAGGTATACTACGGGGTTTAGGGTTTAGGGGCTCAGGTGTCTAGGAGCTTGGGGGTGGTTTTGGGATGTCATCTAAGTGCTGCTTCTTTTGAACTTTGCATGCTGAGCAGCTCAGAACTCTGACGGCGAGCCTACATGAACCCTATACACACTACACACCCCTTCAACTTTGTAAACCGCACAATGCCTACGCCTAAATTGACCCGCCATAATAGCAAATCGCCCTGAAGCCGTTTAAACTGAAAGCCCGGCAACTAACAACTTGCACCACACCGCCAAGTGGGTCACTGACCATAACTATACTCAACCCTAAACCCGAAACCCCGAGTTCTCATTAGTAGTAGGGATTTCAGGAACTAGGTACCTTCTACCCTCCTACAGACCCAAAATTTCTGCTAAGAGCCCGTAAGATATAGTAGATCGATACTTCGGCTAACACCTACAGGCTTCTGGGCTACTGCGTTCTTTGGGATACCCAGCTTCATAAACAAGTACCTTAGCCCGAAAAGACTATCCCTTCAACAAAAGTTCTGAAATACATATCAACATATCAATGCAATGTATTTATACAGGGTTTAATGTAAGGTACAGGCTTACAGGCCTCTAGGTTTGGTAGCCGCTTTGGGGCGGGCTCTGCGTCTTGAACCCGAAGCCCTCAACAGACTTGCAGAATCTTGCAGAGCTCGGAGGACACCAAGTCGCCTGTGGCTTGCGGCGCTGCTGGGCTGGCAGCTGCTGGGCCGAGAAACCGGGCACTCTCCAACGCACTGCCGGCTCATTGGAGCGGGGTTTTGGCCTAATTTACGGGCTTTAACTTTTAGAGTTTAGGGCTGAAAAACCGTAAGCCCCAAACCCTAAACACCCTAAACCCTGAACCCAGGGCCCCAAGTGGCATGAACCCTAGCTGACTGACCCAAGCCGTCCATCCTCAACGTGGGCAAGCATTCAGGGTTTAGAGTGTGGGGCTTGGGCTGTAGACTTTAACCCCTACAAAGTGACCCACACCAGCAGCTGCGGCCACTGAATTCGACAGGCCTATCTGCCTGAATAGTCGCGTGCCGCGGCTTCATGATGATTCGCGCCAGGAGCTGTGAAATATGGCGTCTAGGATTTAGGGTGCGCTGGTATCACAAAGTAATACGAAGGGCACTCAATTTGAGAACTTAGGTTTTGAGGGGCTATAAGTTTCAGCTTTGAGTAAGCATGGCCTGCAACACGCATCTGTAGCGTGTTAGTAGCAAAAATCTAGAAAATAGACACTCGTAAGGCACTATCGTCAAACATACATACATACATACATACATACATACATACATACATACATACATACATACATACATACATGATTTGACAAAAGGCATACACAAACGTTTCGAAGATAGTGCTGTAAACAATGCATAAACACGACGAGGACTTTGAAGAAATCCAGCAACCCTTAGTGAGCATTAGCACAGCGAGCCAGTCTAAGAATCTTGCGAAGGCCTCTGTGGTGAAACGCGTTATTTTCTGTATTAGGGACTTTGCTAAATGGGTTGCATGAGAGAGAGAGAGAGAGAAAAAGAGAGTCAGTCAGTCAGCCAGCCAGCCAGTCAGTCAGAGAGACAGACGCAAAAACAGACACAATGACAGCCTGCAGACACACAGAGCCTTCACACACGTATACACATACATACATACATATACATATACATATACATATACATATACATATACATATACATATACATATACATATACATATACATATACATATACATATACATATACATATACATATACATATACATATACATATACATATACATATACATATACATATACATATACATATACATATACATATACATATACATATACATATACATATACATATACATATACATATACATATACATATACATATACATATACATACATACATACACGTACACATACACAAATGCACGTGTACACACATACGCGCATACACGTACACATTCACATACACACATACTGCACATCCACGTAGATGTGTATAGATATATGTCTACAATGTATACGTGCATATATACATATGTATAGATAGATACATACATACATATCTATGTGCATACGCAAAGCAAAATGGAATAGTGAATAAAAGTGAACACACACACACAGACACTCAGAAGACAACCACATGGACATCTGTGTGTGTTTAGGAGGCACGTGGCTACCGCTGAACAAAAACAATTTGACTCTTTGTAGGACGCACGTGGCTGCCGGTGAACAAAAATAATTTGCTTCCCTATTAAAGGTGGACTCTTTGAAGCAGGCGCCCTCATCTTGCTGGCACGGCAGCAAGCGTAACTTGCAATGCATGCCCTGGTTGTGAGTTTTTGATCGTGGGCAGCATCCCAGTTGAACTACGGTCGGATACCGCGGAAACGAGTGGCGCCGTCAGCGTGCCACACGTGCCACAACTCTAACATGAACTTGCCTGGCGAACCTGCAAGTTCAGGGACAGATGCTTTCCGTCGGGCTTCCGATGTTGGTCTTCACAGTTGCGGGCTGCACCGGCATCGAACGTCCGTGGGCCAACACCGCCTTCAGCGCGCCGGTCTCGCTGGGACCATCCAGAGCCGTGCCCGTACCGTGGCACTCGACCAGGTTGATCTGGGATCCCTGCTTCAGTTGCTCCATCTCCTTGCTGCTTCACAGATCTTTTGCCAAAATCTGCCTATTTGCGCAAGGGCGTCCATAGGCTGTGCAAATGTTAAGGCGCAGACAGAGATTTCCTCCAACACCTTCTGCGCTGCTTCCTCCTCGACCTTCTCCGTGGACATCCTCAGCTACACAAGAGGCGGCTTTTTTGCTTGATGGGCCGGCAGGGGGATTTGAGCAAGCAGCTCTTCCAAGATTGCGGGAACTCTGCCGGACTCGTTAGCATCCATGAGAAGGGTTAAAGAGCTTTTCGGTCTGCACAGCGAGGACACGTCGTTACCTAGAAAGAGCTGCAAGCGGATGCAAACCCAGGTTCAAGTGCACCTTCAGCCTCTCAAGCTCCTGAGCCAGGTCAAAACATGGTTCAGTCTCAAAGCGGGGCGTGCCATAGAAGCCCTCATCCCAATAAGCCCCTACGGCTGTTTCCACCAAGTGGCGCTGGACCCCTTTCCTGGGCTGGCAGCCTGGGGCTCCTCTAGCCTGGAGATCCTAAGCTTGCAAAGTCGATACCACCCATGCATTGTAAAATGCAGACCTGTCCACCTACCGTTCCAGCACAGGGGCTTACCATTGTGTACCCATTACACCCCCCCCCCTGTGAATGGAACATGTCTTCTCCTGAGCAAAAAATCTCTGCCACACAGCCACGATCCAATGTAAACAACACTGCACCATATTGCGGGGGCATCTTCCTGCCCAGTCGCTGCTCAAGTACGGCCGACACTGGGCCTGACTCGTTTGCATCTAGCAACACATCTCGCAGATGCCCCTTCAGCTTGTCCAGGTCCTTGGTCCAAGCGAGCACGAAGATCATCATGTCTTCGATATGTGGCGACGGATGGAGGAGTCCGCAAGAATCTGACACGCTGAGGTCTCCCATCCGAGCTGCTGTTGCATCCTTCGTCTCCATGGTCCGCTTGAGGGCCGCTTCCAGCTCGCCTGCGAAAATCTTTGGGGCTTTCTAGTCACCCGTGATTCATGCACTGCGTGCTCAAATCATTCTCTCTCTTGGGCTATTCTGCGATGATGCCGATAGCCCCTGGGTGACCTTACGGGCTTCTGAGGATCCAAAGAGCCTGCGATGCATTTCACTCTTGGAGCCCTTTCGTGAAACATCTAGTCAAGAAAAAACCAGCTTGAAACGTGAATTTATCTTCTCCTTCTCGCTTCTTCGCTTGAGTGGTGGGTAGTCTTTCTGTTCTTGCAGTGACCAAGGTGGTGCCGGGGCCTGTTTCGGCCGACTTTTCCAGCAGCGCCTGATCTTGGAAGGGGTGCGCATGCAGGGAGCAAAGCTAAGAGAATCTTGTCTTACGCTGACGCGCCCTTCCACACAAACTTATTCAATGCCAAGGTGTGTCACACGGAATCGCCTCTCGCGTTTGCATGCTGTCTCGAGGGGTAGAGGGGGACTTATTGGAATTTTGGCTGTTTGCGCGGTTAGTCCATTCTCGGTCCTGCGTGAAATTGGCCGTCTGCCCCCGGAAGCCCTCGGGCGCACCCACGAAGCTGGTGTCCAGGTTGCTCCTGGGATTTGAGGGGCCTTCAGGGTTTAAGGCACTCGTTTGGAACCCGATTGGGACTGTTTGGATCTATTTGGGCTGGCGTCAGAGAGGGGGCTCGAGGATTCATGTCAGGTTGCTGCAGGCTGCAGGTTGCTGGGATTGGAACGTGGGAGCCGCAGAACGCGTGATCCAATCTGCCCTTGGCCGCAAGCCCCCCGAAAAGCGCAGCAACAGGCCCCCTTCCAGAAGGAAGCCGAACTTCATTCAAGGTGCAGAGAGATGCGGACCTCGAGAGAAAATGATTTCGACATCAGCGACTGAGCTTTGATGAGCTTGGGTGGGATTTCAGGGTCCATGACTTGACTTGAACTGATGTGAGCTGTTGGCTTGCTTGGCTGCAATGCCCGCCTTGTTGTTGTAGATGTGCTCAAGGGTGTCCTTGTCCAAGTCGTTCAAGATCCTGGGCGACTTCACTATGTAGGGTCTGCCGGGAGCTCAGGCGCAGGATTCAACCCTAAGTCCGGAACTGTGTCGCAGAAACCATGGGAGAGAAGCCATCGTCGAAAGCTAGAGCAGGCTAGAATCGGCTAGAAACACGAAATTTGTTGAAGGTAGCCCCATCACCTCCAGGCCCCTTGTCGAACTAAATCCTCCAACCCGTCCAACAACGAATGCACCCATCGCAGCCAATCGCTGAATGGTCGCTCGGCGCTGTCGGCCACCAGAACCTCGGCCTCACCGTCACTTTCGGCGACAGGCTCGAAGCACCTCGGCTTCTTTTGAGGGCAGTGTTTGGCAAGTGAGCAGTACTGCTCGGAGGCGCATGAACATCCATGAATCATTCTCTGAAGCACTGCTGAGAGTTCCAGGAGCCAGGACTGGTCATTGGGACGTAGCTTGAACCGGGCAGCAAGCTCCCAACCATCTGCGTGGCATTGATGACATAAAGTCCAGCGCCCTGGCTGCTGCTTAATAGTTCAGGAGTAGGCCATCGCAAAGCATACAGCAATATTCCGCCCGCACAAAGTCACATTCCGGGAAAAAACACTAAAAGGCGAATCTGAGGCCTTGCAGATGAGAAGTTTCTGCGCAAAAGGCGCCCTCTGGAGCTCCAGCTCCACGCCCAGATCGCCGCGGGCCACCATCAGCGACTTGGCCATGCCATCGATGCTGGTTTGGGCCTTGGTCGAACAATTCCTGTAGCTTGTCTGCGTCAGCGACTGTGGAGCAACACTCTGGCCTGAGGCTTAAACGTAAGCCCGCAATGAAACCTAAACCCTAACCGTTCAACCCGATGGAGTTAAGGTTAAGGGGTTAGGGTTTTTGATTTAGGCATTTTAAACTTTAAACCTAAACCCATAGAGCATTTAAAACGAAAACTCATAGAGTTTTAAATTGTTATATGATGGAAATCAGGTTTTGCTTATCGGGGGATGGTTGCGCGAGATATCTTAGCTCAGGTAAAGCTTTTAGGATGGATGTTTGTTTTGCTTATTGGGGCGTGATGGGGTTACCCTCATTTTCTTATAGGTTTATTACATGTATATAAATCAAACCCTGAACCTTAGTTATAACCGCAGCAAAAAAGTTATAACCTTGTCATATACATGTATCCGCAGAGCTCGTCAAATCCGATGATGATGTAGGCACCCCAACCCTATAAGGTTAAGGTTGACAGGTTTAGGGGGTACGACTGAGGCGTTTAAACCTAAGCCGGCAATTACACCCAAACCCTAACCATTAAACCCTATAGAGTTAGGGTTTAAGGAGTCAGGGTTTAAGGCGCAATCCCATATAGTATACGTATACTTATGAGCAGAAAAGATACGGGGGACACTGCTTGCGATTCAGATTTTTAGGAGCAGAAAAGATACGGGGGGCACTGCTTGCGATTCAGATTTTTAGGAGTACAAAAGATACGGGGGACACTGCTTGCGATTCAGATTTTTAGGAGTACAAAAGATACGGGGGACACTGCTTGCGATTCAGAATTTTAGGAGTACAAAAGATACGGGGGACACTGCTTGCGATTCAGAATTTTAGGAGTATGAAATAAAGAAAACTATATTATATTGATATTGAAAAAGACGGCTCAATATTCAAAAACAGGCAGAATCCAAGATCCAAGATCCAAGATGTCCATGGGAGAATTTCCGGAGCAATCTTGGATCCAGGGCCAGAGTGGGATCCAACATTGCTTCGGAAATTCTCCCGTGGACATCTTGGATCTTGGATCTTGGATTCTGTATGTTATTGAAACAGACAGCTCAATATTCAATAACAGGCAGAATCCAAGATCCAAGATCCAAGATGCCCATGGGAGAAATTCCGAAGCAATGTTGGATCCCACTCTGGCCCTGGATCCAAGATTGCTCCGGAAATTCTCCCGTGGACATCTTGGATCTTGGATCTTGGATCCCACCACATATTGAATATTGAAAAAACGGTTAAATATTCAATATTGGGTGCGATAAGGCTTAGTCCCTTACACCTTAACACGGTTAAATCTTCAAGAATGCCAAAGAAACAGGCGGGAATATAAGCAAACTGCATTCCTTGCTTCCGGTCTTTTGCGTTCCCTGGCACCAGCTAAAGCCTCGGAAGCTGTAAGCTGCTTCAGTCCCTAGTAGGTTTCTGAGCCGTTTCAGGCCCTGGAAGAAGACCGATGCCGTGATCTAGTGGAGGAGGCTTACGGGTTTCGGTTGGTTGAGGTATAAGCTGAAGCCATCTGAGTTCGCCGAAGGTGGCGGACCTCCACACGGGGTTCATCTCCAAGCTGCACCGCCTACCCTGGCCGCGAGGGGCCGGCACCGACATTTTCCGCCTCAACTGCTCCCAGCGCAGTGGTGGCGAGTTCGGGCGCATCTTTCCGCTGATGCGCAAGGCGGCCAATGAGCTCGGCAAGAAGGCGCCGGGGAGGAAACACGCGCTGTTGTGGTCATATATTTTTTGTATCGCTGCTGAGAGCGAAATTGCGTGGGTGGGGGGTTGTGTGTGCGTTTGCCTAGAGGTGAAGTGCCTCCGTGATCTCCAATGTTCAAAGTGTTGTGTGGGTGAGCTTGCTGGAGCTCCCATCCAGCTGAACAACAGTGATGTTCTGGAGTCCGACGTCAGCCAGGATGACCACCACTACATGCGGGCCGGACACATCTTGAGCGCGGCCACCAAGCTGGGAATAGACGTCTTGTTGGAAAATGACATCATGAAAGTGAAGGAGAAGCTCAGTAACATTGTGGAGCGGAAGGTAAAGCTCATCCCTGGAAACAAATTCAAGGCCTGTAAGGGTGTCAATGTGCCAGATGTGGAGACCAATTTCACCAATGGCATCGAAGAGGGTACGTGTATATCCCCCCCCTGCTTTTTTTGCATTCTTGAGGATTTAACCGTGGCTCAGATAGATCAAGATCAGCCAAGGCACCTGCTTAGTCAAATGGACTGGCGCGCGTTTGTTGAAGTTCCTGCGCAGCAGAGCTACTTTGCCCTTCTGATGCACTCATACTGGTTGTGTCTGTGTGTGAGAGAGAGTGAAATGACAAGACAGATGCACGTATGTGCAAATCTCCAAAGATCAAATCCTGGCCGAACCAACGGGTCTCTGGAGTCTAGAGGCCTAGCTTTCCGTCTATGTCTTAGTCAAGAGGCCTATGGTTTTAGGGTTCAAGTTTTGAGGTTTCGTGCAAGAAACAGCGCTAGAGGTTGCATGCAGTTTATGCACTGCCTTCAAGTTGAAAGGTCTGGCTCTAGTGACTCTAGTAATCCTGCTAAGTAAAGCTTTGTTTGGCTGCATTGTTTCTTGCGTCGTCTAAGATCCTAGCCACGACATAGGTCATCCGAAAAGAAACTGCACTTCCAGGCCAGAACCGTGTGGCCCCACCCAACTTGACGACGGAGAATCAGAACCCGCTTGCAAGCCAGGAGGGTGTCTGGCTCTCTCGCAACCCCAAAATCGGCGGAGCCGCTTTCAAAATTAGCTGTTCGGGGGGGGGGATAGGGGGATAGGGGGGGATAGGGAGGATAGGGAGGATAGGGGGGGGATTAGGGGGGATAGGGGTGATAGGGGGGATAAAGGGGGGATAGGGTGAGCCCTTTCCCCTTTCGCTAAATGGCACGAGTGGGGGCAAAAATTGCTGTGTATCGCTCGCTCTATATCACACCACAAAAATGCTCTACATCCTCTACATCACTCTGAGTGGCTCTTGACCACTCTAAATATTTCATATTATCACTCTGCACTAGGTGATGCCATCCTTCCGCCGCTGTCGCTGGGACGGATGTTCAAAGCTCGGATCGCGCTAGGTACCACAAACAATCTTTCCCTGACATGAGAGTACAGATAACCACACCAAACGAGGTTTGCTGCATCGGCTGATCTCCTTGTAGTCGGTGCGCCTAGGTACTGTGAACCGTGAGTTTTGCCTCTGCAGAACTAAATCCCGTCGTTCGCCAGTCAAGTCTGCTGCCACCGCAAACCGGGAACGACGAGCCACAGCCATCCCCCAACTACTGGAATCAGAGGACCCCCAACATCCTTTCTCCCATCAAGTACCGCTGCGATTCAAGATTTCGGCGGCCAAAAAGTGGTGCAGGCATCAGAATGGGCATTATAGTTTACAATGGATGAGGCTCTCCAGGAGTCGGTTTCCAGGGAATCCTCCGTAAATGGTAGGACACGAGCTCAAAATCTGCACCACGTGACTACGGGAACCACGCGCCGCATGGATCCTCTGTGAACAGCAGCACG